TTTTATTTTTAACTCAATCTGTGCCTAAGGGAGGTGTCACATTTTGTAGGAAGAGCATGGGTGGACAAGGAAGAAAAGAAAAATTAAGCTAGTTGCTCTACTCACAGGTGTGTAAGATCAGTGATCTGAGATCTGTGCTTCTTTAGTTTATTTGTAAAATGGAAATAATAATGAAAGTATTTTGGAATCTAAAGATAAAACACACATTGGTAGGGGGACAATCTAATGACCAGAGATAACCACTGAGGTCAGAGGAAAAACAGAGTGCTCAGCACTTTGCAGATTAAAAACATTGCCTGTACTGCCAGACATTTGTTTTGTCAGAAATGTTGTTAATAACAAAAACAGCATAGAGCAGTAAAATGTAAAATGTATTTGTTGAGCTATTTCAGCTTTTTTTATTATTATTATTATTTTTTGTCACACAAATTATTTACAACATGGTAAAAGCTGAAAGTTATTTCCAACACCTACCAGTATGGACTTAGAATGGATACTGTTTTAATGAACGCTGAAAAAATCTTCACTTTCTCTTTAATTGGATGTTAAAGAAAAAAAAAAAAAAAAAAAAAGCCCATCATTAGTCTCTCTCTTTCTTCATCTTTTTTGAACATTGCCATTTTACTCTCTGAATAAGAATTTCATGCTGGCAGCCATTTTAATAGTGGACTTAACACCCATAAATTCTGTTACCTTTTCAGCAACTGATTTCTCCGGCTCAGGGGTGCGGGGTTCCTAGTGCTCATCACTAGTGTTGATGACAGACGTGTAGAAGGCATAAAACATCTCTGCTTTGTCTTTATCACTATTTATGAAGTGACCATCCCCATCACATAGTGAACCAATGTTATCTCTGATCTTTCTTTTGCTGTTAACATATTTTTTAAAGTCCTCTTTATTGTTCCTCACAATACATTGGCCACCCAGTTTTCTCTCTAAAATGAATAACAATTTGCCCAACCTCACTTCCAGTGGCAGTATACCTTCTTTTTCCACCTACGCTCTATAAGAATCTCATTGCTTAGACAAGCCAGCCTTCTTTCCTGCCTGCATGACTTCCAGCATATTGTAATTGTTTGTTCCTGTGCTCTTAAGAAGTGATACTTAAAAAGTGTCCAGCATTGATGGAAACCAAGGCCTTCAAATAGTGTACTAGGGGACCTTGCCAAGTAGTTCACTGAGCAGCCTGAACCCTGCTCTCCCCATATCCAGGATTGAAGTTTTAGTGTCAATTTGCCTCCTATCATAAAAGATTTTAGATTCAACTACTTCATGGTCACTATGGCCATGAGACCTTCTCTGTTTGCAAGCAACAAAACTAGGAGAGGACTTTGCCGAATTGGCTCCCTTAGAAACAGTACCATGAAGCTATCAAGATCTTTTAGGAATCTCTTGTACCTGTTTATATCAGCTGTGTGGTATTCCCAGTTAACATCTGGCAAGTTGAAGTCACCCTTTAGGATGAGGGTGGATGATCTAGAGGTATCTCATAGTTCCTTGAAGAACAATTCCTCAACATCATCATCCTGGCTGGGTGACCTATAGCAGAATTCCACACTGACAGTTTCTTTATTTGCTTCACCCTTCATCCTTTCCCAATCCATCCCTCCCTCACACACAGCCATCTCCTGCCTCATCTGCCATCCTTGTCCCTGCTAAAGAGCCCAGAACTGTCCATTGTGATATACTGATCACAGAACTCTTCCCACTATGTTCCACATCTGTTGATTATGTTGTAGTTCTGGGATTGAGCCAAGGCTCCTAGCTTGATTTCATGATAATTGATGGCAAGTGTCTTGAAGACACAATTTGTGATGAAGGCTTATAGGTTTTGTTTTTGTTTTTTTTAAATTTCCTTCAGCTGAGACTTTAGTAAGGCTTTATTTCTTTGAGATTTTAAGTATTTAAGTTAAAGACTGCATTTAAAAGTTCAGGGAGCTTTGTTTCTGCACAGAGATTATTTTTAGGAGTACTCTCAAAGTCCATGTCCAAGAGCATATATAACTGAATCATTTGATAGCTCTTCAATATAAGTCAAGAAACCAACACTCTTATACTTCAAAACGAGTTTTTATACTGTTTGTTTCTGCTAGACAATGAAAAGACACAGGAATAAATGTTTCCCAGAATTCAGGTATAATGTAGTGTAAGGTTTATGACTTCAGGATAGCAGTTATTTCTCTGCTTCTGTATTATTACTATTCTTTTTAAGTGAGGCAGAGATCTAGACTCATAAAATTGCTCAGGTTGGAAAAGAACTTTAAGATCATCAAGTCCAACCACAACCTAACCATACTAACCATACTACCCTAACTAACAACCCTCTGCTAAATCATGTCCCTGAGCACCACATCCAAACAGTTTTTAAACACATCCAGGGATGGTGACTCAACCACCTTCCTGGGGAGCCTATTCCAGTGCTTAACAACCCTTTCAGTAAAGAATTTTTTTCCTGATACCCTACCTAACCTTACCCTGGTGCAACTTGAGACCATTTCCCCTCGTCCTGTCACCTGTTACCAGTGAGGAGAGATCAACCCCACTCTTGCTGTAAGCACCTTTCAGATATTGGAAGAGAGCAATAAGGTCTCCCCTTAGCCTCCTTTTCCCCAGCTAAACAGCCCCAGTTCCTTCAGTCTCTCCTCGTAGGGCACATTCTCCAAGCCCTTCACAAGCCATGTTGCCCTTCTTTGGACCTGCTCCAGCACCTCAATGTCCTTTCTGTACTGATGTGCCCAAAACTGAACACAGTTGTAGTACTGGTATTGCTGCAGAAATACACAAAACTAGAGTAGTATGAGGTGAAAACAACAATGCAAAGGTCTGTTTTTAATGCTAGGTGTTATCAGAGATGTAAATCCATCTTAATAATTTAATGTGCAAACTGAAAAGTGTGTTAGTTATTGGACTGTTTAGGACATAGACTGTGTCATTTTGTGTCATTCTTAGCAAAGGACGTTGTGCTGGATGTTTAGGCGAAGTTAACAACCAGTATAGTAAACTATTTCAATCTTTAATTGTACTGTTACTTTCACCAAGGACTGCAATTTTTCCTGTCGTGGTAATGATTCTAGCACAACACTTGGTAATATCTGTTTATTGCCACTGGAGAATACATTTGCTGGGATGATGAACCTGTCTTACATATAATAGGAGCTAAAATTGTCTGCCAGTCCTAAAGTTGTCTGCCAGACCTCAAAATACTGACAGTAATAAAACATCCATTGTGCAGGTTTTCATCTACCCTGCAATCATTTTTAGCAGTTCTGTTGCTTTTCATATACTGATGGAACACTGAATTAGCTCCATGAAAGTCAAGGGATTCCAAGAGTACAGAAGTTTTATCATTTTGCTTATGCAGTGATAACTAAAAGCTTGATCCTACAGATATGTATACCTATTCTTAGAGCAATCTAATACAACTTGTTTTTGTTAGCTTTAGCTCAGAAATGCAGTTTTAATTCAAGTTATTCCATGTTTAGAACAAGTGTAATACAGCTTTTATTGGAAAAATATGCTCTGTTAAAGTTGAATTTTGTGTTTGGTGGCATGTTGTTAAAGCTTTGCTGGGAAGGAAATTTCCCATGTAACTGAAGCTGAGATTTGAATAATTCAAAAAGCTGCTTAGTTTTTCTTGTTTTATACTTGCCTCCTCTTACCATCTTTTTTTCTTTTGTGAAACATTTGGTATGTACCACTCTGCATGATTTGTGTCTTGTTACTTTTTTCTTTTATATCACTAGCAAATATTTAAGGATGATGCCTATTCTCTTCTGGTGTACTTAATAGCTTTGAATGTACTTAATAGTCTTGAATGATTTTCCTCCTTTAAATTCCTTTATTGGCAACAGGCATTGTTACACCTATATCTAAAAATTCATAATATAGTTCTAGAAAATTGGTATGCTTTTCAAGATAGATGCCATGCATAAATAGAATTTTGGATGCTGCTTAGTGTTACTGTCACTTAAAACTTGATTGCAACAACTGCACTGAATGCACTAAAATTCAAATTTTTATACTTCATTTTCTCTGTTGCCAGTTCTATACTTTGCATGTTTCATGCTCTATATTTAGGATCATAGAATCATAGAATGGCCTGGGTTGAAAAGGACCACAATGATCATCCAGTTTCAACCCCCCTGCTATGTGCAGGGTCGCCAACCACCAGACCAGGCTGCCCAGAGCCACATCCAGCCTGGCCTTCAATGCTTCCAGGGATGGGGCATCCACAACCTCCTTGGGCAACCTGTTCCAGTGTGTCACCACCCTCCGTGTGAAAAACTTCCTCTTAATATCTCACCTAAACCTTCCCTTTCTCAGTTTAAAACCATTCCCCTTTGTCCTATTACTATCCACCCTTGTAAACAGCTGTTTACAGGATGTTTGTAGATTACTTCTGGACATGATTATCCAAGTGCTGATGCATGTTTAACAAAATGTAATTAAATGTGTTTTTTGGAAATTACACCAGCAGCTGTTAGCACTATGTCTGAAAGTTGCTTTGTAGGAATTAGCTCTAAACATGTCAGCTATCTAGCTTTCAGTATGGAAACAACATTTGGCCTTATTTAAACAGTTTATTAAGCAAAGGAGATGGTAAACATCCATTTAATGTGTTTTTCTTCTCTGGCATTTTTTATACAGATTTCTATGGAAAACCTCTGCCACCATTGACTGTACGCCAAAGACCAAACAGTGATACCCATGATGTCATTGCTTAACTGGATCCCAGATAACAATGAAAAAACATGGTCAAGAAATTGTATTATAAATGAGTTTTGTCCATGAAGGAAGATTTTTAAAATGACAGTCTATGAGTTTCTTGCAAAGTAAAAATTCGGTAACAATTAAACACGGAGTTCATTCTGTTGTACTTTGTCATTTACTTTTCACATCACCAGCACTTCAGGGTGAAGAAAGCATGAAAGCAAGGAAGATCTGTGTTTTCATGGAAGCTCCTATGAACACAGTATGGAATACACATTGGGTTTACTTGTGAAAATGCATAGCTATAAACCTGAAGAAAAATACCTTCAAGATGATAAAATATTGGATTGTACGTTCTCTTTGAAACCTTTCATCAGGTGCTGTGCAGTGGTTGATATTTTTGCAACTAATAAATGGTTCTAATGCATTTTTTTATGTATGTTAGGGTGAATATAGGCAGGTTACACAACAAATATCAAGTATATTTTTCTAACTTTTTGTAAAACTATTTGAAAATATATGTGGATTTTCCTACCTACTACCAATAAAATGATACCCAGAAAGCATTAGAAAGCTGATACCTAAATACATGCAAGTAAAATGTGTTTGACTTAACATTTTTCTTACAGTAGCAATACCTCTTATTAGGGATTACATTACCTTTATTACTTATTTCTGGCAATCTGAAGGGACGTAGGTAGAAAGGGAAGTTTAATATAAATACATTTTTTACAAAATTATGCTTTTTGAATCACATGATTTTTTTTCTTATGCATTGTTGTTTTAGTTTTGTTAACTGAATTGGGTGTAGGTAATAAGTTCAGTTTGAAAAATAGAGCTGAATATTGTATTGTCTGTTACAACATACAATAAAATTGCACATTGTGAAAGTTTTGCACTAATTCAGTCATCGGTTCTGATGAAAAACTGAATCATCCAATATGCATTTAAGCTCCAGCACTTTTTAATCTCATTAACAGTAAAATGCCATCTTGAAAATAAAAGAATCTGCAGAATTTTAAGAAGTTATATAATGTCCCTGTGTAGTGTTTTAATTTTTCATTTAAAAAAATCAAATACAAGGGATATGTAAAACAGGTTAGAAATGGTTATGATACGTGGTTACTGACATGCCCTATATGCTGTCTTTTCTTTGGAGGCAACCATTGGTATATTATATAAAAGTATATAGCCATGCCACTTAGTTACAAGGATGGAACCCTTATTCAGAATCTTTTTAAGAAGTGCTCTTTGCTGATTTTCCATTCTGCTCTCAGTTTTCCATAATGTAATATTATTTAATGATTTGAGTAGAAATTACATTAACGTGATGCATTCAGCACTTTGACATTAGAAATATTTGCCACATACCCACAATGTCAGTAAGTTACACAAATAAATATACCACATTGAAATGACACGATTAATTACGATTTTAAGAGTATGCTTGAGTGGAAAAAAGAATCAGTCTTAAGAATATTAAGTTTGGAATGGATAGAGAGGAATATTCCAGGCTTGCAAATTTGGCATACAGGTAAAACAATTTGTATGTGACTGTCAGCATGAGAATATTTTTCTTATATTCTAATAGTATAATATGGTTCAGTTTGATGATTTGGGAGACTTAGTCATTTTCACTTTAAACAAACTTGATACTTAGTGGAGAAAGGATTGAATTTTTTTTTATAGGTACAATCCCAATTTTAACCATTTTTTACTCTGTTACTACTTCATTATTTTGGCTTTAAGACTCCTTTTTTTTTTTTTTTTTTTTTTTTTTTTTACAGTTTCAGTTTCTAGAAATGCATTACCCTTTTATATTAACACTAATGAAAAATAAATTAATTGAAATCTTTATTTAAAAAAATAAAGCTACATACTGCTGTGGAAACAAAATTTGAGAAACTGAAAGGTAAGATGTTGTTACTTATGTGTGAAATGTGTGCTAAGCGTGTTATGCGTGTGGGCACATGTATCAGTTTTGTTTCTGCTTTAATCTGTACCAATAAATGACCAAAGTACTAAAAATGTTTCATACTGTTTTATTTATGAAAATATATTGACTACAATAGCTTTTTCTTTTTTATGTTACTTTGATTTTTTGTTTGCTCAAGATTGCATTTATATACACAGTAAAACTAATGTACAGCATCAACATTTCCCAAATTATCATAATTTTTATTTTTGAGGCAAAAATAGTCAAAAATATTTTATGTCTACAAGCCTCATTTGCATTGCTAGTATATAAAGCTCTAAATTTTAAAAGCAAATGTAGGTTGGAAATGTTTGTCCTAGGATAGAAGAGCTCCCCCCCCTTCAGATAAACTATTTCCTTACCCAGGATTGCTCTGACAACTGCTCTGGTAACTGCTCTGTGGTTGATGATCTGTCTATATGCCTCACTGAATATGAATTTAACATAACTTCAAGTTATTTTCCTCTTGGGCTAGTGGAATGACTGAGGTTGAGGGAAGTGCAGAGTGAGAACTGTAAGTGTGCTTCCCTCAACTTTCTCCTTCATCCTGGACTCTCCACACAAAGCCTTTTTCAGGCACATAAATAGCAAAGTACTGATTACACTCAAGGACTCTAAGGCAGGTATTGAGCATGGTACTGGTCACGCTTAATGCCTCACTAAGACAGGCTTCTGGTTTGTGTTATTGGCAAAGTACGATTAAATTGTATGTATTTTCTTGCATGTGTTAGTTACAGGACTTGGCAGAACTACAGCTGCAGAGAATTGTACTTTTAGACCAGCTTTATTCCATATCTGGTGGTATATCTCATCTATTAAACCCTTCTGGTTTCCTTCAATTGAGTATGCAGGAGCACTCCATTTCACCCACTGGCTCCTTCTCAGGATATTGATTGAAACACTTTAAACTAGCTTTGAAGTTTGACGATCATTTGCATGAGGTGAGCATGAATGTTCCTAGTCTTCATTAGTCAGTGCCTGAAACTCAAATATTTATTTGGCGCTCTTGCCTTTACCTTTGCACCCCTTTCCATTCTGGATTTTAGAGGCCAGTGTAAGTGCACAGGAGCTGCACAAGCAGTCATTAACAAAGAGCCCTGCTAGAGGAACTTGCTGTTTTCAAGTTGCTCTTTCCGGAGCAGTCAGCAAGAGCTGACAAACAGGCTTCTGAGAGAGCAGAGCGTGTGTACTTGCTTAAGTGGGCCAGAGCAACAACAGCAAAAGCAGGCTAAAAGAACAAACTGATGTCCTTCCTCACACAAGGAGCCTGCAGGTCTCCATGGTCCTGTTTCAGCAAACTGAGGCTCTGGAGCATGTTTAGAGATGGGAAACAGAGCTGTGAAAGGTGTGTAGCACAGCTCTTAACGGGGAGCGGCTGAGGACACTGGGATTATTCATCTGGAGAAGAGGAGGCTCAGGGGAGATCTTATCACTCTAAGCCTGAAAGGAGGCTGTGGTGAGGTGGGGTCAGCCTCTTCTCCCAGGTAACAGTGATAGGATGAGAGGGAATGGCCTTAAGTTGCACCAGAGGAGATTCAGCTTGGATACTAGGAAATATTTATTCTCAGAAAATGTGGCAATGCATTGGCACAGGCTGCCCAGGGAGGCGGTGGAGTCGCCATCCCTGGAGGTGCTGAAGAACCGTGTGGTTGTGGCACCGAGGAACATGGTTAGTGGGCAGTACTGGTGGTGATAGGCTGGTGGTTGGACTAGATGATTTTAGTAGTCTTTCCAACCTATGATCCTGTCTCTAGTGTTTTACGAGGGAATGCTGAGCAATGGAATGGTAGTTCCAATGTCTCTGAAGTTTGGGCCAGAACCCCGTGCGTGGAGGTCTTGTGGTGGTGTTTGGGATGGCTGCCACAGCGGGATAGGATCAGCTCTGTAAATTGATCAAGCACAATCCCAGAGAAGAGAGGATAGCACAGCCTGCTACCATGATAACAAAGCAAAACAAAAACCCCGCTCCTGCCGCTTCAGAAGGAGCAAACCACTTCCGGAAAATAAATAAATAAATAAATAAATAAATAAAACCCCGCTTCCAGCACGGGGCCAGTTGACCGGTAGAGAGCAGCGCAGCGCTCCAGCTGGGAGGAGTAGCCGTCGGCCGCCCCGCCCCACGCCGGCCATGAGACTGCCTCACGCAGCAGCTCGCCTGCTGCCGCCGCTTTCCACCGCGGTCGCTCTGCGTCCGCAACGCGGGTTCGCCCAGACGCCGGGGCAGGTGAGGAGCCGCGCTTCGGCGGCACGGGGCCGGAAGCTGGCTGGGAGGAACGACCGGCCCCTTCCTGCACGGCCCGGCGGGGGGGTGGTGTGTCCAGGATAGCGTGACTAAGGGTCGTGAAAGGCTGTAAGGGAAGTGGGGGAATGATGGCCCCAGCTTGGAGGGGTGAGGTGTGGTATGGCCCAAAGGAGGAAAGCCGTGCAAAGTTCTGTGCCCACTTCGTGAATAATACGGCTTTGTTCAGAAACCAGAAGTTCGTTCTTCTTTCTTGTGAAGTGAAACATAAATACATACAATATATGTATTGTAGGCTGAGAAGGGAATCAAAACTATGGCTGAATTACAGCTAATTAAGGAGCTGTAAGAAAGAGGGGGACAGACCCTTCAGCAGGTTCTGTTGTGATAGGGCAAAGGGAAATGGTTTCAAACTAAGAGGGAAAATTTAGGTGGCTATAAGGCCAAAGAGTTTTACAGTAAGGGTGGTGAGGCACTGGAACAGGTTGCCCAGAGAGGTGGTGGATGCCCCATCGCTGGATGCAATCAAGGTCAGGCTGGACAGGACTCTGAGCACCTAATGGAGATGTAGGTGTCCTTGTTCATTGCAGGGGGTTGGTCTAAATGGCCTTTAAGGGTCTCTCCCAACTCAAGCAATTCCATGGTAAAAATTATTATTCTTGGAATAACTTCATTGTTGCAGTGCTTTGTGGCTCTGCTCCAGAGAACTTTTACAATGATTCCAATGGATTTTACTTAAGTGTGTAGGTAAGCCATGGCAGAAGTGATTGCCAAGTTCCAGGTTCTAGCAAGCAATCTTTTCACAGAATCACAGAATGGCCTGGGTTGGAAGGGACCTCAAAGATCATGAATCTCCAACCCTCCTGCCACATGCAGGGCCACCAACCTTCCCATTTAATACTAGACCAGGCTGCCCAGGGCCCCATCCAACCTGGCCTTGGACACCTCCAGGGATGGGGCATCCACAGCCTCTCTGGGCAGCCTGTTCCAGCACCTCACCACTCTCTCTGTAAAGAATTTCCCCCCGATGTCCAACCTAAATCTTCCCTCCCTCATCTTAAAACCATTTCCCCTTGTCCTGTTGTTATCTACCCTTTCAGAGAATTGATTCCCCTCCCCTCTGTAGGCTCCCTTTAGGTACTGAAAGGCTGCAATGAGGTCACCCTGCAGCCTTC